TTAGGCCTAAGAGGGGGTAGACATAGGGGATGATGATGATGTTGTTGTTGATTGTGTTGCTGTTGAAACAGATTTGGGAGGCGGGGAATCTTTGGGGTCAGGGAAAGCCGATCCCCGTTGGGGGGCGGGGATGAGGATGGTGGTAGGTTCCCCGTCGGGGATCGGGGATGGAGAGTGCGATCCCCGGCCCTGTCCCGCCCCGCCCCGCCCCATTGCCATTCCTAGCCCCCACCACCTCTAATTTACCTGCCCCCAATATGATACGAATCAAGGACGAATTAATACAAATCAAATCAAAACCATCCCGTATCCGTGTCTACTTATATTTCATATTTTCATTTTTGTAATAATAATTTAGAGACTAAAGGGTGGTTTGGCATTCTATAAATAATCTATTCTTTTATTTATTTTTTATTATATTATTTTTTTTATACATCATTTTATAAAAAGATAAAAAAACAATTATTTAAATCATTCTAAACAATTCCTAAATAAATTTTAATTTATATAACAAATAAAAAACTAAATAAATTATTTTACAATAATTTATCCCACAGAGTGCCTTGAACCCTAGCGAACATATATTGAAAACAATTTCCTCAATACTATCCGTCTTCATCAGCTTACAACTCTCTATTTCCTCCCTCTTCCTGCTCCATCACTTCGGCCATGGCGACAACAGTGTGCCGTTCAATCATGGCCGTCCGATTCTCATCTCTCTTCGTCTCCAAACGCCTTCTCTCATCCACATCTTCCATAGCCAGAGCTCCACCTCTCCCGGGCTTCGTTCGGCCCGCACGGTCCACCTCCGTTCTCTCTCACTCACTCCGGATGGTTGTTCCCGGCGCGGCTCGGCTGAACCTGGTCAGGTGCAGGGTGAACCGGTCTGGAGGGTCGAGCTATTCGCCGCTCAACTCCGGTTCGAACTTCAGCGACCGACCGCCGACGGAGATGGCTCCGCTGTTCCCTGGATGCGATTACGAGCACTGGCTTATCGTCATGGACAAGCCTGGTGGTGAAGGCGCAACCAAACAGCAGATGATCGATTGCTACATCCAAACCCTAGCCAAGGTCCTTGGAAGGTAATTTCCCTCTGCATATATGTATATTTGTATCAATATTTGTAAAGATATGTATATATATATATGGAGTTTGTTGCTATCTTATTATTAATGCTGTTAGATTGTTAAAATGTTTTTGGAATTTACAATCTGTTTGGATGGGTTGATTTGGTAAGAATTTTCCTTATTTAGTTTGTAAATTAGGCGAGAAATAATGGAAAATGGTAGGCAATGGTGAGTTATGTTTGGATTGAGTGATTTGGAGAAAAAAGAAAATAAATGGAGAGATTCATATTTCTCTTACTTACTTGTTTGGATAAATTAAGTGGAAAGAAATGGGGAGAAATGAAATCCATTTCTCTTATGACCTTCCATTTCTCTTATGACCTTCATTTTTAATCTTTCCAAAAGTGGAAAGATTGGGAGAGAAAAGAAATTGCCAGATTCTTATATTTTCATAATATTAATTTTGTCTCTTTAAAAATAAAAGAAATAAAATGATTGACACCCATAAAAAGGTTAATTTAGTAATATAACATAAAATAATTTTTTTTCTTTTCTTTTATGAAATCTAACCAAATAAGAAGAGAAAAATCATAATCATTTATCACAATTATTATTATTATTATTTTTTTATAACTTAAATAATCATTTCTTTTATTTTCTCTTCTCTGATAGATTCCCAAACATAGTGTAACTCTCTTATTTTTTGCCTATTTCATTTTTCACTAAAAATGGTGAGATTTATATCTCATTACGCCAATTTGTGCAAGACTTTCTACATACGCTCTGTATGTTTGGGCGTGGAAAATGTTTGTTATGATGGAAAACGAAAGTCAACAGACAATTTTTTCCATGGTCAATGGAAAATAAGTTTATTTAGGCAGAAAATATTTTTCAAGCTAAAATTTTATCACTATCACCACACTACCACCACTACTGTCACCTCCACCACCACATCACCATCAACATGGGCACGGTCGCCATCACCCCCACCATGCCACTACCTCCACCCTTGTTTCACCACCACTGCAAAATATTTTTTTCCAAGTTTTCCATAGAAAATGTTTTTCATTGGAAAATGTTTTTCTCCCAAACAAACAGAGCGAGAATGTACAAGTACTTTGATGCATATTATTGGTATAATGAGAAATTTACTGTTTGTAAATAGACGCTCCAATTGGTTATAATTTATAAAATATTTGTAATATTGAGATTGCTCATAAAGGGGGGAAAAAGGACAAATCTCATTCATATTCCTTTCTTACATGCTTTGCTTTCTTAACCCTCCAAACATCATAGTGAGAAAACACAATCAAATTTTTAGTTTTTCATTTAGACGAGAGATTACAATTCATTTAGGTTAGTCTGAACCATTAGCTGGATAGTAGTACCATAATTATCTTTCCTGAAATTAGGATTACATAAAATAAAAAAAAATCAAATTGAGGCCATGATTTGGGTTTTATGAGTTGTTTTAGTGCCCATATTACTCATCAATGGTTTATTATCTATGATTGGAAGATATTGTTATTTAATTATGCGGTCTCCGTATTTGGTCATTTTCATCTGGGTGGTGGAATTACTAGAGACAATTGCGTCTCTAATTCTGAAATGATATATTTGTTTGTTATTATTATGTACCAGTGAAGAGGAAGCAAAGCAAAAAATTTACAATGTGTCCTGTGAGAGGTACTTTGGTTTTGGATGCGAAATTGATGAGGAGACATCTAATAAGCTCGAAGGTTTGTGTTACTATTCATGTTTATAAGTATGTGTTACTTCATATCTATAATCTATGCATATTAACAAATATGTGATAAGGGTTGCTTCTATGTTGAACGGTTACATGTTTTATTTATTACAGGTCTGCCTGGTGTTCTTTTTGTCCTTCCTGATTCTTATGTTGATCCAGAGAACAAGGATTATGGTGGTATGCCTTATAGACATTTATGTGCTGTTTTGAGATGCTTTGTGTTTCTGATTATAAATTATCGTGTGCTAATGCCAAATTTATCTATTTATATTTTTTGGTTGGTTGGTTGTTTGGTTGATATCTATACTATATTATAATGTGAGCCCCCCCTTCGGTATGAACAGAAAACTGAGGTTGTGTAATGATTTTCTAGATTCCAAATTAGTTCAAGACAAACACATTTCCCATAACAAATTAACATCTGGTTTTAATAACTGTAAGAGTCGCAGGGTGGGGGTTCAAAGAAAGGGCAAAGTTGGGATTTTGGTGGGTGCTCAAAGAACAAAAGTGGGGGAGCAATTTTGGTGGGTGGGGTTCCAAAGAAGTGGGTGGTCCAAAGAAATTGTGTGGGGCCATTTAGCAGCTCCCCATAAAAAATACTGTCTTTTGCCATTTATATAAGAGAGAGATAAAAGACAGTATTTTTTACGGTTTACATTTCACACGTGTTCAGCTTCTGTTAGTATATGGTTTATGGCAATTCCATTGAGTCATGTCTGTGTTTGTGTCAACATGTCTGCAATAGTTTTTACTTGTAATATCTAATTAGGAGCTTTGTGCACACATCATACGTAATGTACAAATATCATGTCTGGCTTACATATTCGTGGCAAAAATGTGGTTCAATGCTACTCATACTTGTTACTTGAAATTTGAAAACAAAGGATGCTTTAACAACGCAGTAAGCTTAACAAGTTATAGTTTTGACATTTGCATAACCTTTTTATATTTCTGAAGTTTTTTGCTAGTTTTTGTTTTATAAAATTTTAAAGCTTCCTTTTGTCCATCCCTCTTTGAAACAGGAACGAATGCCCACGGCCAAGGTTTTAAAAAGCGGCCGCAACCGTTACGTAACGCCGTTTACGTAACGGTTTTGGCGGTTATCGCCACCCGTTACGGCCGCTTTTGCAATGTGATTGAGATTCACAGGTGTGTCGGCCGTAGCGGCTGCCATAGCGGGTCGTAACGGTGCCGTAACAGCCGTAACGGCCTGTTACGCACCGTTACGTAACGGTTCCAAACTGTTTCTTTCGAAAAAATACACAAAAAAAAAAAGCTGAAAATGGGGGAAGAGGGATAGAGAGAAGAGGGAAGATAAAGAAAGAAAATAGAGGGGCAAGAGATAGAGAGAAAGAGAGAAGAGGGAATATGAAGAACATGTTATTGATTTGTTGAAACTATAAGACCTATCCTATTCTATTCAGCTGCTATCACTAAACCATTTTGTTTGTCTGTGTCTATCTATATATTGTTTGAAAATAATAATAATAATAAGTGTGATCATTATCTATTTGGCTTGGTTAAAATATGTATATATATATATATTTAGGCTCTTATTTATTCTCTTACTTTTGTCATTATTTATCTTATATATAATAGTTAGTGATTATTTTTTTGTAAAATATAAAGTCATTAATTATTAAAATAAAATGTAAAAAACTTAGTTTATAGTGATTTAAAAATATGAAATATATTAGGTCATACTTAAAAATTTACAAAAATTGATCAATATTTATTTTTAACCCAATAAATATGATCATGGAAAAAAAAATATGCGTATCGGTAAGTTTTTTTTAAAATTGTGCGAAAAATAAAAAAATTCACGGTTCCGGTTACCGCAACCGTTACACTACGGCCTTTACACCCCACAACCGCAACCGCGTCACCGCCACCGTTACGGTGACCGCAACCGCTTTTCAAAACCTTGCCCACGGCCATTTCTCCTAACATCTGCACATGACAACTTTTAACTTGTTGACTGCCTTAACTTTTGAAGTAGCAGATTTAAATGGCCAGTATGCATAAAAAACAAGATAAAAAAAGGTTTTTGTGTTTTGATAATGTAATATACTTTTGAAGTTATATTTATTGTTTACTTCTTTACCATGTGGAAAGCAGTAGACAGAGCAAGAGTGTCCGAGCCTTTGGTGTTGTCTTATGTACTTTGAGACACTTCCTCATGTAGGCTATGTGAATTATGCATTCCTCATATAGCTTGTCAGCCATTTTGGCGTGTCAATGTCGTATTGGATTGTCAGCCATTTCAGTCGGATAATAGTGTCATATTGGATTATCTGAAGTTCATCATGGCAAAGCAAAGAACCTTAAAAGGCAAACGGAGATTTGAATGCTACTGGTCTTTCATCAAAGTCTCTCTTCTGTGTTCTGGGCTTCTTAAAAACTCAAAGGAGTTGCTGATCAGTAAAGACAAAACACAAAAATTTGCATTAGCATTTTGCCTTGAGGCCTACATGCTGCATTATGATTTATGACCTTTTAGGAACTTCTTCTTGTACCACCATTTTAAGAAACATTGAATGTCATATGCAGCTGGGTATGCGGTTTTGTTACAAAGTCCATCTTGGCAGAGCAAAGAGCCTGAAAGGGCAATGAATAGCTTTGAATGCTAATGGACTTATATCAAATGTCTCTTAAATTTTATGGCCTTCTTAAACTCAATTTAGTTGAAGATCAATAATGATGAAACACACAAAATTTCAATTGCATTTTTTCCTCGAGGCCTACGTGCTGTCATAGTAGCTTTTAGATGCATCTTGTATTTGTGTCAAAAAACATTGGATTTCACATATGTCACGGTATGCAGTCTTGTTAAATAGCTACTTCACTGCACTTGTGCAGATGTCATGCTTGGTTTACCAAAGCCTATCTTGGCAGAGCAAATAGCCTTTTAAAGTCGATGAATAGTTTTGAGTGCTAATGGACTTCTTACCAAGCCCATATTGTCAGCTGTTTTAGCTTTAACTTCTCAATATTGTATTCATTGCTTCTGCTGCTGCTGTTTTGTTTTGGATATATACAATCTAAGTTCTTATTGGGAAACAAAAGCTAAGGAGTCAGGATAGAACTATACACACACTTGGAAATGTTTAGGCCTTTGGGGGAAGTTCTACTTTTAACTCCTTTGTTTGCTCGATTGATGTAAAGTTTCATTATTGTTTGTCATTTGCTTCAACTGGTTTTAACTTCAGGTTTCATGATCTCTCAGCGCCTAATATTCGGCCTTATCTTAGAAGATAATGTCGTTGCTACCAAATAATTGGGCCATTTTGACTATTGTTATTTTCATGATTTACAGCTGAGCTGTTTGTGAATGGCGAGATTGTCAAAAGGTCTCCCGAAAGACAGAGGAGGGTGGAACCAGTGCCCCAAAGAGCTCAAGACAGACCAAGATACAATGACCGGACCCGTTATGTCAGGCGTCGTGAGAATATGCGGTGAAAACCTTGGGCTACGTATGTTGGTCTATGGGTAGAAAAGAAGTTGAGCTTTCTTATTCTATGGCTGTATTTATTAGGTGGTGTGGTGATGACTACTTATGCTTGTTTATGTGACAAAACTTTGGACTTGGAACTTCATAATATCAGGCAATTTCGTGAATGTAGCAGCAACCTTATGTTTCTTCTTGATAAACAAATCTTAATCGTTCTTATCGATGTGGTGAATTGAGTTTGTATTGGTTGTTGATTTAGAGTAGTTGCTTGTAAGTATTGACTTTGATTAGGAAAAACCGAGAAACACGAGTTCATTCTGGTAGTGACCTGAGAAAATTGTGCACAATATTTGGGACACGAAGCATTATTGAAATTTGTAATATTGTGGGGATATATTTTCTGAGTACCAACACGTGGCAAGGTGATGCCGATGTGTCAGCCAAGGTGTCACGTGTCTTGGTCGTTGTGCCGAGGTCATCTCGACTAAGCCGAGGTTGCCTCCGAAGATATCGGAATCCGAGATAAGCGGATAAAGGACAAGAGTCCTAGAATGAAGAGGGAACTCAACTTAGATATGAGTCCTAAATTGGGAGAAGACTTCAGTTTGGGTAAAGATAAGACTCTTAGAGAGTTTATCCTAATCCCACTGGGAGTCCCAGATTAGCAATAATCCTAAGTCCATTAGGGCCAGGCTCCTTTTGGGACTAGGATTGTATTGGCTATAAAAGAGAGGCACTCAAGCTTGTGAGTTTAGTACTTGATTTATCTTTGAGAGATATACTGACTTGATCGTCGGAGTGCCCCCGGGTGGTCGAAATCACCGCGGGATTTTTATATTTCTGTTGCAGGTCAGTCAAGTGCCATCTATTCTGCCAGTGCTCTCTAGCTGGTTACTAAGTGGGCAGTGTGGTCGGAAAATCACCCACACAAATATGAAGCACAAAATGTCTATACTTTTATTACTATAAAAAGTATTTAAATTTGGTCACCATTGAAACTGCTTAACAAAATTATAATTTTCTTAACATAATCATAAAGAATCGTCCGGTGCACCTTTTGTGAACATTATAATAATTTGTAACTAAAATCATAAATTTCATATATGGCTTTGGCAGCCAGCCACCGACCGTAGCTACCACCTGCTGTCGTTGACAGTCATTACTTGCCTGCTTACCATCTCTGATAATTTTTTCTATGTTAACAAAGGTGTCATTTGGAAACAAAGATAAAAGTTGCGTTTTGCAGCTTGGGTAAAAAGTTAGAAGCTTACTATTTTTGCATCAAAATCATTTGGAAAGATAGTTAAAAGTTACTTGTTAAATTACAGCTATACCCTTCAGTTGTAAAATGAGCCACATAAATGAAAATGTAAATTTCCTAAATTGGGTGGGGGTATTTTGGTCATTTGATTGTGATGTGGCTGTATAAACAAATATTAAGCAACAAAGCAAAACAACAGTTTTTTATCAACTTTTCAAATGACTTTCTAAAAAAGTCAAAAAGTTTGATTAAAAATCAAAAGTTAACTTTTAATCATTTTTTCAAAACACTCCAAATTTTTTAGCTACCGGTCAAGTTAGGTGACAATGTGATAAAAATAAAATAGAAAACTTTCGAAATAATAATTTGTCTTTTTCATCAATCAATTTCATTAATCATATTAAGCAACAAAGAAAAAAAAATAGTTTTTTATCAACTTCCCAAATGACTTTCTAAAAAAGTCAAAAAGTTTGATTAAAAATCAAAAGTCAACTTTTAATCATTTTTTCAAAACCCTCCAAATTTTTTAGCTACCGGTCAAGTTAGGTGACAATGTGATAAAAATAAAATAGAAAACTTTCAAAATAATAATTTGTCTTTTTCATCAATCAATTTCATTAATCATGTCTTAATCACCAAAATATTGAACCTAATATCATACACCCAAAAAAATGAAAATTTCACCGAGTTTTACTTGATTGTAGGAATGAAATATTATAGTTGATATAAAATGACTATACAAGTTAAAATAACATATTTTTATATTTTTTAAAATATATATTTTGATCTTACACATCAACATAGGTACATTGCTCGTTTGAGATGTTGATTATTTTAGTTTTTAACTATTTTAATAGGTTAAATTTTTTGTATTTAGAAAAATAGTTATTTTTCTTGTAATTGGATTTATGTTTGTAAAAAAAACAAATGAAATGATTATGAATTTGATATGATATTTTGTCTTATTAACTGTTTTAATATATTTTGTCTTTTTATGATTTTTAGCCAAAAAATCTCCCAAACCCAACTTGCCAAACACCAATCTTATTGAAAACATATACATATATTTTTAATTTTTTTTTTTATCTATCATATTTACCTCCTAATTGAAAACATTTACATATTTTTATTTATAGTCTAGTATGACCTCAGCATGAACACTACCTCACAGCACAATGCCCCTCATCAAACAGCATGCCCTTGCTATCCTTCAACCAACACAAATTGATATACAAAAACCAAGCTTGCTGCAAGACAGAAACAATCCTTTTATTGCTTGCCAAGACTAGGAAGTTCATGTCATATCCATGTACCGGGTTTAGTGAATCAGATACTAGCCCCAACTGCATCAGTCACACAAAATATCTTTGAGCATTTTCTATCACGGCAATGATTGGAATATGAGTTGTAAATCTTACCTACATACAAAAACCTGCTTTTGAGCTCTTTCTTGAAGAAGATGATCAGAAGAAGAGGAAAATTTGTGAATATAAGAGTGGTGTTTTCATACTAGTGGAACTCCATTGCCACTTCACAGATTTCAATTTGTTCTTTTCAAGCTTCTGGAGCCCCTATCTACTTCATTCACGATATTCTCATGGGTCATAAGTTCTTCGATGCCCGTGATTGTGATGCTTACTTTTATGGCAGTGATAATGATGAAGGTTCTAAGAACAAGTGTTCTTGAAAGAAATCTTCCCAGCAGCTATTAAAGAATCCCCACGATCTCCTGTTTTTTAAACTCAAAATTCATCTAGTTTCAGCATTGCTCCCTTCAACCCACCAACAATTTTAAAAAAGGGACATGGAAGTATCATGGTTGGCTTTTCCCTAATCACAGATTCCTATAGCATGCGATTCTTGTTTGCTCAATAATTAGTAGCAACTGACTGAACCATGTATCATTAAGTATATAATATTCAACATAAAAAAAACACACACACACATACACACCCACAACTCTATTTTTTGTTTTTCCACACCTCAAAAACACTTCGCAAACATGTTGTGCAGTTCATAGAGAGAAGGAAACAAAAAGGGAGCGAAGAAGAATACTGCAGAAGGCAAAGAAAACATTCTTCCGAAAAAATTCAAGGCTGAGACTAGCCGCTCTTTTTTATTTCAAAGGAATATTTGAGCTCCATATGACATCTTCTGTCATCATCTTCAAACTGCACAAACCATCGATGAATGAGAAGAAATGTCGAGTCTGAGACGAGAGAAAAGATAGTGGGTTGTTAGCTGCTATAATTAAATCTCATTTAAAAAAAAAGGAAGGGGGGGGTAAATTATATCTACGCCCCTTGAAGTTTGGCTTTAATAAAGATACCTCCCTGACGTTCTGGAAATTATAATGACCCCCATGTCAGAGTTTGTTAGTTAACCCGCCTTAACAGAAAAATTAAAATGACTTTTCACCTCCTTGAGATGGACAGGGCATAGAGTTTCTTCTCCACCCACCCTCATTTCACAGCCCATCTCTCCCCCCTTCACCACCGACAACTTTGGTTGACGCTCTCTAAAGCATTTCATCAAATATGAGAGGGACACAAAAACCCTCCAACCCTACTAATAAAAATCAAGCAAAATAAAGTAAAAAAGCCACGCTGCCTATGACAAACAAATTAGATAGAGAGATAAATGCAATGTAAAGATAGTTGATTTTGAAGAAAGGGCCCAGGTTGTTGGTGCCACTGTCACAATCCATCAAACAAATTAATTGATAATGTCAGCAAATGGTGTTAGCTAACCGAACGGTTAGTTAACCAAGGGGGTAAATTGTAATGAGATTATAAATTTTACGGAGGGAAATGTAATTTACAAAATGTCACAGAGGTATCTATATTAAAGCCAAATCCCAAAGGGGAGTAGGTGTAGTTTACCCACAAAAAAAAAGTAGGCATTTCAAGTGTTAGTTACGGTGTGTTGAGGAAACTGTTTTGGACCTCCAAACAAAAAAATATAGCAGGAAATTGGAACACTTCAATCTTAGAATGTAAAAGAATCAAGAGGAAAAGAAGAAAAGAGAGTACAGAAGGAAAGAAAAGAAAAAAAAAAACTTCATCTATACAATACAACCAGATTTCGCATAGACTTCCATCTGGAACAATCTCAATATAATTTCGTTTTACAAGTGGAACTGGCTTGCTAAAAAAACTTATAAAATGGCGTTCAGATTGCAGTTCATGTGCAAATTTAATTTTATATAGCTTTCTAGGCTTGCTCAAAAAAGTACATATAAGATGGGGGAAACTGCATTAAGTGGGAACAACTCAAAGTAATTATATTCATGGATGTGCGAGTTGGAGCAAGTGAGAGCCATGTCCCATGCCACAGCTTTCACTTGCACCGGAGGGTACAAGCTCACTTGTACCTTTGTGAAAGTGAAATTATTTCGAGTTGTTCCCATTTAAATGGACTTTTCTCTAAAATATTTTCCTTCCTATAACTTTTGCTAACAGTCTCTATCCTCTCGAATTTGTGTGCTTTTGTGTTTGTGTGTGTGTGTGCGCGCACGCACTCGTGTGGTGTGGGGATGGGGTGAAGTAAAATATCATATTTTTTCAAATAAGCATGAAAAAGCACATCAAAGGCAGGTATTCAGATTGTGTAATTGCACACACCTTGAGGTTTGCAGTGTAGGTTCCCCTTGCAAGCACACCAGATGGAGCAGTATCCTCGTCTAAGGTATGTACATATGGTTCTCGCTGAGGAGCAAAAGTACCCAACATTCCTTTACTTTGATCAACTGTCACTCAAATTAAAAAAAAGAAAAAAGAAAGAAGCAATGAAAATGAGCAGAGAATAAAACATGGATTGAAGTTTGAGAAATATGAGTGTTCTGTGATTTTTACATAAGCACCATCACATGTAAAACTTCACCATTCAAATACCCATCACTGTACGAATGAAAACCAACAAAAACCTCAGGTTTGTCTACAAGACCATGGTGGGATCTAATATGCTGATTTCTTCATGGGCATGCAACCAAATTAAATAGTAAATTCATTCTCTTTTTGATGACTGAAAACAAGTCAAATAACTTGTGAATTAATAACATAGAATTAGTAAAATGGCTTAGTACAGGAACACATAAAGGGTACAAAAGAAAAAAGAATCATAGCTTGTGTTGAAGTAGCTTTGCAAAGCAAACCCTACATTACTACTGTAACCATAAATAAGTAACTAATCTACCAAGATTTGGCATGAACTTCCACGAACTGAAACCATGTTGGCCGAAATTCTTAAAGCATAAGCATCAGTTGAATTGAATCTGAATTTTTGTGAAAGAAAAGAAAAGAAAGTATAGGTCATACACTACAATAATCTGTCACATTGTTTGGTCAGTCAGGATAACTCTACATTATGCTTTTTTTTTTTAATCAGAATTTGATTGGCACAAACCTAGCATGATAGTATCCTACACTTGGGTAAATTTTTGCAGTCACTTTTAAGTTTTGAATGAAATTGCAATGAGGTTAACAAAATCTCAACAATTTAACTACCACATATTATATTTGTTAATTCTAAATGAAATGGACAGTAGGTTTTCAACCTCGGAGTCCTCCCTTCCACACTGTGTTTGTGTACATCAAGCCGGAGACAATGTTGTGCAGAACAGTGAATGCCAATTTGAGCCGATACTCGGATCCTTCCTTGAGAGTAAAGAGGACTCGGCCATCCTTAGTTTCATCAACAGGTATTGGGGTACTAATTTCCCCAAAATCATCAGATATGATTCCTATGGAGTGGAATATAACTTCAGGTTCCATTTGTTCTAAACAAAACAGAGAAAAACACAATCATGAAATGAAAACAGATCAAATTGAGATCTCAAACAATGTTATAAGGTATTATCAAACCATTTAAGTCTTCTTCCACACAACCGAGCAGCTTCTCTTTCCACCTTCTTAAACTCTCATCATCCTGAAAAGCAAAGTTGAATCATCATAAAATAAATATGAATAATAACCCTAACAATTTTATCTATAGGAGCACTTTTTGATACCGAATGGAAATGCAACTATTCTGTTTTAGTTTCCACATCATTTGAATAAATAAAAGCACATTCTAGAATGTAAACAGACATTAGAAACAAGTGTTTGTTTGGTTATAACTTTTTGGTGTTTCTTAAAATGTGGGTTGTTTTCAGAAATTTTGCCCTGAAGCACTTTGCCAAACAAGTTTTTGTTTTCTAGAAAATGAAAACAAAAACAGAGGCACAATGGAAGAGGGAAAGAATAAACTCTAAGAAATCCTAAAATTGATGAGAAAGAAAAGTTTCAATTTTTCTTTAAATAATGTGTTCATTTCCACGAGTCATCAACACCTTTTATATGATGTCACTGAAGTTTAAATCTTTACCCCAAAATAGTCAGTGACCCACCATGGTTCTCCCAAAACAAGACCTAAACTTAGGCAAAATCACAATGTATGGAGGAAGAAGAACCCATTTCAAAGCAAAAGAGTCCAAGAAAAGTCATAAACCTAAAATATTTTATCTATCTATCTATCTATCTATCTATCTATCAGATAGTCAATAAAATAATGGGTAAAGTGCACAACCTAAAATCAATCATGAGAGGAATAGAGTGTATTAAAAAGAATGGCATTGATCATTATATGGAAGAAGAAGAAATAAATTAACCTTGTCTTTGTCAATCTGGAGTTTGAGAGGAAGGAGAGGGCTAGGAACAAATTCACCAATAGTCCCCCCATCTTGACGATGATCGTCATCATCATCATCAACATCATCATCATTATCTGCATAGTCATCATCATCATCAGCAGCAGCAGCAGGACAGACATCCACTAGTTGTTTCTGATGAATTGATGATGATTCAAATGGCTTCATTTCTTGATTTTCATCAGAACAACACCCACCACATGATGGTCCTGCCTCCTCCTCTGCTCTCTTACCCCCCTCCATCACACACACACACACTCTCTCTGTCTCTCTCTCTCTCTCTCTACACACACAACAGAAAATGGGGTTGTCCTCCAAATTCAAAGCCCTACTAACAATTCAACAAAACCCAGATAAAGTAGTTTTGGAATTTAAAGGAAGGGGGCAGAGAGAGATCACACTTTCCCTTTCTCTCTCTCTAATATGTTTATTGCTTGAGTGAGTAATTTTTATATGGGAATAAAGTATATGTTATATTGTACCTTTTATTATTGTATTTGATTTTAATACTGTAATAAAATTTATTATATTTATATTAAGTAATTAAAAAAAAATAAAATAAAAATATATATATATATATATATATTTATAATTAATAGAAAATATAATCATTTCACGCTTTCTTGGCATGTAAAAATCTGAAGGTACATTCCATTTTGATTTTGAGCTGTAGACAGACAGACATAGACTCAAACACACTCACATCACAGACACAGACAAACAAAGAGACATAAATACAAAATACTTTTTTCCTTCTCCGCTCCGCTCTGTCCCGTATTTATTGTTTGTTTGTTGATTTTTATGTTTTGTTTTTGTCTCTACTTTTTATCTGTCCGCGTGTAGTAGACTTTGAAAACCATTCATACACTCTTCATGCTCTCTTCAATTTGCGTGTTACCCATCTCAACTTGATGTACATTCAATTTGATAGGGACGTTTTGAAATTGATTTGAATGATATGAATTGTTTACGTTTTAATATTAGTTAAATAAAATATTCCTTCCGTTCTAAAATAATGGTTTCTTTTAGGAAATTCAATTTTTTTTTGATAGTACAATTATTGCATTTAAAAAAAATTAATTTTCTAAAATTATCCTTTTGATAGTACATTTTTTGGGAATATCAATGTCATAATTGTACTTTTTATATTGTTTATTAATTTAAAAGAAGGACAAAATAGGAAATTTATATTATTTTTATACTTGATTTTTGAAGAGGGACAAATATTTTGGAATAATAAAAAATGGAATAAGGGACTAATATTTTGGGACGGATGGAGTATTTATTTAAAAAATTAAAATAATAAAATATTAATAATTATTTATTTAAATTTATTTTATATTATAAAAAATAAATGATTATTTTTAAACTCATATTTGTTATATATTTTTTTAAAATAAATATGATTTAAATATATAGTTATCAATATCAAAATATCTTAATTTGTAACATGAATATTTTACTCAACAAGTCTTAAAAAATAAATAATTTGAATAATTGAAATCAATTTCAAAATTAACTTATTAAGTCCAAATGTTCTCTCAAATTTCAAGTTGAGATGACAATTTGAGCGAAATCAAACCATTTCAATTTTTAGACTGTAATTAAGATTGATAATGAATTGAGTTGAAACATGCACTATTTTGTTTAAGCTTTGCATATGAACTTATCGAGCTGAGTAATAAATTGTTTTAAGTCTAGTTTGAAAATTTAACAAGTTTTAGAAAGTGTTCAAATTTTATTTTTGCATAATGAACCAATCTCAAATAAATTTTTAACGAGTTAAGTCGAATTTGAATAACTTAATTTGTTTAACACCCTAAGCGTTAAGAAAATATAAATTCGCATTTTTTAAGTCCGTATTTTTTTGTTTTTTTGAATTTTTTAAAAATTAAAAAAATATTTTGTTTGGTTTTTTATTTTTTATTTTGTGTATTTTATAAATTCTTTTATCATTTTAATTAAATTTATTTGACTTTTAGATGAGTCTAACCTAACCTGATGAAATTAAAAATTAATATATTTGTGAATTACTAAATACAAAAGATAAGATTTATTTATTAATTTTTTTAGATTTTTCAAAATATGTTTTAATTTTTCAAAGTACCTTAAAAAAATTTTAAAAATTGATTTAAAAAAATGACCAAATTTTTTTCAAATAAAAAAATATAAAATATAAAAAACTCAAAAACTCAAAAAATTGTAAAATTCAAAACCAAAAACAGATATATTTGAAAAATTACTGAAAATATTACTTTTTTTTAATAAGAAAATTGTTGTGATATTTAACTTTTTTAAATTCATAACAAATAAATTTTTTTTGTGTGACTTTTTTTAATAAAAATGGACTTACATAACACATTTCACACATCCCTAAACTGTCTGGAGCCACTGGGGTAACCAATAAAGTGAAATCTTATGTTGGAATCAATGAAAGAAAAATGCTGGTCTAATAATTTAGAGTTTGTTTTTGAAATTGGCTATTTTTGGGAGTTAACAATTTTATTCCTTCATGCAAATGTTATAAAATGAATCTCTGAATTTCCTAAAAACAGTTTCTCTCTTATTTTTGAAGTGTTAAACAAGCAAGTTATTGAGAAGGTGGTTAAAAACCAGTTTTTTGACAATTTTTAGATCACATCACTTCTTTATTTTTACACATTTTTTCAAAAAAAATAAAAATAATAATAAAGTCGACTTTCAACCTACTTTCCAAAATGAATTAACTTTTACAGTCCTGCAAACATCAAATGTGAACTTTCAAGCCCCAATTCCTTTACACCTCATTTTTCCTTTCTACCAAACAGAAATTGTACTTGCTCAGAAAAAACAAAGTTAGAAGACAGACCAGGAAACTTTTGTTTTTATTGCTTTTCCATCAAAGTAAAATACATACGAATTCATTACTAAAGCTAGCCTGGCCTTTCACCTGAAGGGTTCAACGGGGGCAGTCTCTTCAAGAACGATAGCGGCCTCAAAACACTCGGCAGCTTCCAGTGCTGATGCATCACCCTCACGCTCACCCTCATCTTTGTAAATAAGGCCGAGATTATACCAAGCAGAAGCATTCATTCTGTCAAGTCGTAGTGCTTCTGTGAGAAAGCATCTTCTAACAACAGCTGAAGATCGGCCACCAAGCTGTCTAAGAACCACGGCCATGGAGACTAGACTTGGAACATGGGTGGCCTCAACATCTAAAGCATGCCAAAAAGCTCTAAGAGCTTCTTTGCGGAGGCCCTTTGCTTGGTAAAGCAAACCTGCAAAAAACTCCCAAGTTTTAAATCCCAAAGAATCTACATGCACTAGTTAACATAGATCCAAAACAATTTGAATCACAACCACAACCCATAGAAGAGCGGAGGATAATTAAATAAACCGAGGAAAGTAGACTCTTGCAAGCAACATTCACATTTGGTGTACTTCTTTGACAAAAACCCTTATATGTATAACAAAACAAGCACTAGTGCTAAAGTCATGGCTAAAAGGACATTACATGCAGTTGGTTCGGGTTGGTTGGGTTTATTAACAACCCTAAAAAACAAGAGCCAAAAAGTGAGAATACAAGTGCTAAAGTCATGGCTAAAAGGAAAGCCAGAAGTAACAATGCAATCTAATCTAAGTCAGCAACCATAACCAGATCGAGTACCCCTAAGAACTCGTTTGGGGCGAGCCAAGCCAGCCCTTTTGGCTAAAAATGCCAAAAGCCTGTTTTACATCACTTAAAAATGCTAAAAAGCCACTCAACTTTTCCACACTTTTTTTTAACAATTTCCCAATTGCATCAGCATTTTTAAATTCTAAAAAAGCCAAAAAACAACCACTTAAAAAGCCAATGCCAGAGTCAGTTTTATGAACCTAATTATGATCCAAGAGATCTGAAAAGTTAGAATTTCACCTTAATCTTAACCAGATCTAGCAGTTGTATCAACGATTCAATTGTGGTTTCTAATTCTGCGCACTTCATGTGGAAATTCTGACTTTCAGAACAGCTGCTCAAGTCTGATTTTGATTAAGGCAAATTTGAATATGAATCGTGCCATTTCTATAATGAAGTCAACTCTTTTTTTCATAGATTAAATTTTCATTAAAGAGATGCTGATTGGGAAACACTACAATAAAAGAGAAGAAAAGAATACAAAAAAAAAAAAGAAAAAAGAAAAACTAAATTCACAATCAGGAAAGGACTTAGACTAAGCTACAAATGAAATTAGATTAAGGACATTAGACAAAAAACAATTCAGCCAAAAAATGAATGAAAATTCATGGTAGAAGAACCACAGGATGTAATGTGATAATGTGACATACATAGGCATTATCATCCAAGACAAACTTCACCAGTGTCAACTAAATCCAACTAAACTGTACACTCGCATCCTCATAGTCAGAAAGAACTTCTATTAATTTTCTTGTAGAAAAATTAAGAAAACTGAGGGTACTTGTATCAAGCCCAATACGCGGCAAGCCCTACGGGTGCCACTCCACCCACGTGGTAGACCAATAAGGCACCACGTGGGCATGTCATATGTTTGATACATGGCGAGCCCTACGGGCGCCGTGTGCCAAGGCTCCACACAAAACCAAGACTATATGCTTAGCTTAAGCGGAAGCATACATATAAGTCTAAATATATCTAAATATGAAGAGCCTTACAATAGGCAGCATCATGGCCCCGCAGGGCCCATGGTCCTTCACACTCCAAGACCAAACAACAATATAATCAGCCTCCGGTTCACTTGGACTTGGATTGATAAACACTGGCTCTCCTAAACATTGAGATAGGCCCATGGCCCATTCTCCTACTTGGTCGCTTGGGAGCGAGCCCCTAGCTCTCCTAAACACCGAGGTGGGCCTTGGCCCATTCCCCTACTTGGATGCCTGGGTTGGGAGCAGGACCTAGGCACTATTGCTCAGGATCATCAGAGGATATTGGACTGGCGGCTGAGGTCATGGAATCGTCAAGATGGTTGTCTTCTTGCTAAGACAACTCCATCTTGACCAAGCTTGGAGAAGAGGCAACAACAACCTTACATTCATATCATCCAATGCATATAAGAAACGTTACTTTCTGCCTGCCATGAAACGTTGCTCTCCGCCTGCCGTCAAGCCACAGACGGCAGAAGGGCTTATATCACTTCTGGTAGAATTGAAGAGAATAAGCCACCTGTCCAACAGTTTGCTTGGGCTCCAATACTCTTGTGGCCTATATAACGTATCGTATATGCAGCAAAACAACAACAACACAACTTCATAATTCTAACACACTAAGTCTCACACTCAAACATTCCTTCTCACATTCTACATTAGTGTTCAAGGTCCATCACTGCCAGCCTCTCCCTCTCCAAGCTTGCTTTGACATCCTCCTTTCCACCTCCGATGATCTCAGGCCATTGAAGTGCCTGCAATCTTCCTAGACTACCTCTAACCACACCTCTCACCCACATTA